CTGAAGGCACTGTACGATGCTTGAGTATAGTAAGCCCACAGGCTGCACGTGTAAAACAAAGTGCAATACGATCTGAAAAGCGTAAGTTTGACTACTGTCGAGCAACGTGCAAACCTGCGAGCTATCATGTTCGCCCTCACTGACAGCGCCCTACGTTTATAAACAGTTTCTCACAGACATCTTCGAGTTCAGTGACTTGGATTAATACTTAGAAAAAATACCGACCAAAAAAAATACTTATAATGTTATATAAAGTATGTTTTTTTATGGAAGAGGAGGCGAATGAGCAGATGTGGTGGAAAGCGACTACCGCCACCCATAAACGCCTGCAACTCAGGAGTAACAAGCGCGATACCGGCCTTTGAGGAAGGTGTACGCTCTTTTCTTAAAGGTTTAAAGGTCGTATCGGTCCGGTAACACTGGTAACACCGCACATCCTAATGGACATTAGAGAAGGCAAGAGGCAAGCTGAGCTTAACAAACTCAACTTAGAAGTTCAGAATAAAAGGCTTATTATATTATAAAGTCCGCAAAATATATCCATTTTAACACACCGCTGTCTACCCCTTTACTAATAAATGTCGTGAGTATATTAATAAACAAAACGAAATCTTGTTTAAGTAGGTATGTCCACTATTTTTATAATTATAATGTCATGTCAAATAATATTTTTGTCAACCAAAGGATCCTTGGGTGAGCAAAAGGGTTTTTTACCCTTTTAATATTCATGCGATTCAGTCAAAAAGCGTCATACAAACCCGTCGATACATAAAATGTTTGCCCATTGTACTTATATTGAGTTTTTTTTATTGTTATTTTTAAAAGGCAACTCCCGCATTAGGATATATATTATGTATCCTGTGTCGCGAGGGACTTTACAAACATACATGAAACGGACACAAAGAACACCCAGACTCAGAACAACAATTTGTGGATCACACAAAGTGTCGTCCCATGTGGGGATCGGACCCACAACACTCAGCGTAGTAGGAAGCGGCTTGGCGACCGCTTAAACCACTGCGCCATCCGTGCAGCCCTTTCTAATACATAAATGTAAACGCTTCTATTCAAGTAATACATATTTATTAACAGTGTATTTATAATGTTAAAATAAAGGAAGCACACAACTGCTGCTTACTGCACGTATGGCGTAGTGGTTTAAGCGGTCTCTTTGCCGCTTCCTACTGCGCTGAGTATTGTGGGCTCAATCCCCATATGGGACAAAACTTTGTGTGATACACAAAATGTATTACTGGGTCTGAATAATCTTTGTATGTGTTTGAATGAATTTTTAAAATAGGATATATTACTAATGCGGCAGTTGTATTTATAAAAAAAAAAAGAAAAATAGGTTATGGTGTGTTGTGATGAAGACTATCAAAAAAATTGTTGCATCGTTTGTTGCAAAGGGTAACCTTGCAACACATAATGTAACTCATACTCAAATACCACCGTCAATATAAAGGTAAGCTCTCTGCAACGAATCTGCCTTGAAGTATTGACTACTACACACAATCACACACTACCACACAATCACACAATGGTGGCCACAATCTTAGTTTCTTATTTATCTTTAATAGCTGTAAGTAAATACCGCCGATGAAATTTTTTTATTATAAAAGAAGAAGAATAGAATCCATTTTAGAAAAATCATTTTAAATTTTACATTGAACATGTTCAAACTGTCCGTAACAATGAAGGGTGACTGTAAGACTAATTAGAAACTCCTTAAATTTCACAAGTTTTTATGACACTTGCAACAGCTTAGTTAAAATAAATAATTACTCTCTATTTTAGTTCAACATCAAAGATTTTAAATATTATAAAAAATATTTTAAAATGAAATCACTTTTAAATTTAAGGTCGTGTTTTTTAGAATTTTTGATGTGTCATAATCTACAAGAGTCTTACTCACTACAGCAATAAAGTGTGGATTCGATCGACTGATGCAAATGAGAATATTAAGCCAGAAGACCCCACCAAGTAGGGTCTGAGGTGTACCCTATAAAGTAAATCGTATGTATGTATAATGTGTATGGGTTCTAGTGTGTGATAGGTTTATGCACACGTATTTGATATTATAACTACTAACAAACTTTAACTAAAATGCACCTTTTTTTTTCTGTGCGGAACTCCCCTCGGATACCACCCACCAGTGGGTGATTATGTCGGACTCGAACCGACCAAAAACCGCACGCCGTCTCCAGGTACCAGTAGCCGGGGAACCAGGTATACCCTAAATGCACCTACTTCTTGTTCTCTCTGCATCACCCAAAGGTTGACTTAGAGAATGCCTTAGGCATTAAGTCCGCCAATGCACCAAGAGTGCATGATGTATAAATAAATAAAGCCCTGTCCTTCCACCTTTTTCCCAGTATACGGCTGAGCTTCGATTTTTCAAGTGCTGTGACTGCCATCAGATCTTCACAACCTAAATACTAGGCGACATCGAAGCTCTGTAGAAACACTGTATAGAGCAAATCCCAGTAACCCCAGACAATTTGTACCATAGTGTGGTACGCCATCCGTGAGATAGGAGATCACTCACTCTCCCCTTAATTTTTTTACAATCTCTTTGACCAAAACTACCTAGTTGGAAAATAAGGTAAATCCTTCGAATATTGTATCGAGAAAATTTACTCTCGGATAGCCACTGCGAAATTAAAGTGCTGGGTAAAGTATAATAATTAAATCCTGAATAGTTTAGGTATTTAAATCAAGCATACGATGGAGTTACTGTACTAGTATATATCCATTTCTGTATGGAGAAATTGAATAAAAACAACATTAAAATGTATGCAACAAATTCTTTTTATTTAAACTTCAAAAACCATACAAAATGTCCTCAACGTTGTTGTATTTAATACTTACAAGTACATAATATTATACACAAATTATTTTGCATATTAAAAACAAAAGCAAAGCTGTGCATGTTAATAACAATTTTAAATTAAGAATTACAATTAATATTTCGTAACATTTTTAAATCAATTTCTTATTAAAAAAAATTTGATCATATTCTTTTTTCAAATCTTTTTTTTTGTTGATTTTTTTCTCGAAAGAATCAAATCAGTCCTACATCAAGCCATTATGTCATTCGTGTCATACCTAACACAAGATCCAATGGTGACAGAAACTTATTACTTCGATGTAAATAATATAATACATTTATATCTCTTTGAATACATAGTAGCGTTTCATTTACATTTACATGTACAAAGTAAATATAAAGTTGACGACATAGTGAAAGCAGGAGCGATATTATTTCAGCTTATATGAGATGAATGTTAAGTAACATTTACATTATTTTAGGAATTTACTATAGTTTTGTAGAAAAGTGTACACAATTATGTAGATCGTTTAATTTTTGAAAAAAAATATCTTCATTCTTACCTTTATAATTCTCTTCTTTTCTTAAATATTACAAAACTTTACTACAACTATTCTGTACGGGATGTTTATTGAAAATCAGAAAATCGTTACTTGAAATAAGAATTTCATTACAAAATATTCAGAAAAATTATGTTTTACCTTACGAAATGTAGAAATTTCAGCACGACGGTGCATGACCAACCTTAAATATATAATAAATATGAATACCACTGACGAAAGTTTTAATAAAAAAATCGTTTCTTGTTAAAATTGAAGTAATCTTGTTTACAAACCTTCACTTTGTATAAAAAATATATTAAAATAATACTCAATCGCTTCGGCTATCACTACGTGTGTACCATAAACATTTCTTTTTTTGGCACAAAATGTGTTTGGATAGATACCTTATTTCGTAAGCATTACACTTCGTAGAAAAAAATATTTACGGCTTCGACTAGAGTTATTATTCCGATAGTTTCCTTCTTTATATTAGAAGTATAAATATTAGGTCTAAGCATTTTGAGTCCGGCAAGCTGTTATATTTTATTTTGATTGATTTATATTTTTTATTTCTCAATAACAAAATTTATATTAATTTTATTATTAAAATAACACGATATTTATTTGTTTTCTCAAAGAGATTATGACTCTTAGTCATATAAAAGACTATTTTAGTGATTTATTTATAACTAACAACTACAGTGATGAAATAATTAAATGTAATGTAATATTATACATGAGAACGGCAATATTTTTTGGTACATTTTCTTTTACCTAATACCGTTTTGGTGCATTTAGAAAAGGAAAAAAGTTGAGTTCAAATAGAATTGTGAGACTTTTTTTATAAGAATTTGACTAAGATTATTTCAATTGCACCTGATTTTATAAATGCTTTAAGTTTACAATTATAATTTAATTTTAGGTTTTATATATTTAAATGCTTTAACTTTAAAATAATTAAATATTGCATGAATATATTTCTCACTAATACTCTTTATAATAACAATATTAATATAATTGTGCAATTATTGTTTTCAAAGAAGCAACTAAAATGTCAAAGTATATACTGAGTTAAAACTCGTAGTTAGATCATCTTTATTACTGGATATATTTCTTTTTTTTCAATGGCAACATTGTTCTTTTTATAAAATTTCCGTTAACAAAAAAGGTCTAAAATAATCTTTGATATTTCAATGATTTACAATGCACTAAAAAGGTTTTAATCTGGCGTTTCATCATCATTCCATTTTAAGCGTTTATACAAAGCTTACAATTTTTTTCTATCAACCTATTATATAAGATAAATTCGATTACTCGACGGACGAAGATAATATCTTGCGACCTTTGAAACGAAGGCGGGCTTATGGGAAATCACCGCGTTCAATGATCGGCCATCCATTTCTACGTGATAAGACATTACAAGACATACAAAACATTTTGATCAGTCTGGTTATAGTTTTTAGGTTGATTATAACTGTTGAGTTGCTTGAGTTTGCTTTTTAAGCTTTTTTGTTTTGTATAATCATAAAATTTTATTTTTTTAATTGAAACTTACAATTTATAAAAATGGTGTTTATTTTTTAATAAAAAGTATGATTTTACATTGATTATATTTAGTGAAAGTGACATCATGTAATATAAGCATAAATTAAATATTGTTGCGTAAACATCGGTATTACAACTTGTTGAAGATTCATCTGTAAACAACAGAATAATATTTTAGTACATAAAATAAAAAAATATTATTAATAATATATTAATATTTCAGAATAGATTTAAAATAGTTTAAATACTATTTGTTCAATTTTAAGTAAAATAAATATAAATGTATGTTTATTTTAGTTATTTCTAGTCTATCTAGTTAACATTTTTAATGTTTAGGAAGCCATTATCAATAATACAATAATTATAATTTTTATGTATTTTACCCACCTTAAAATACTTGTACTCTGTGGTTCTCACGATCACAAACGATAATATTGCCACCAGACATGACAGCGATACCTTCGAGACCTTTGAACTCTCCATCACCAGAGCCCCAGGATCCGAAAGCCCTCAAAAAGTTTCCATCAGGGTGGAATATCTGGATGCGATTATTGCCAGAGTCAGCCACCACGATGTAGCCTTGATCGTCTACAGCCACACCCCTGGAGAAAAAGACAGATCAGAAAAATATAAGATGGTTTAAAACATTCTTACGTGTAGTGATTTTGCACAAAACGAGTTGCGCGTGCGACCTTTGGGCTATTTATATCTAAGTGCTAAACTGATGGGCAAACGACATTGAATTTCATTTATTTGTGGCAAATATGCTTTTTAAATGGCTTGTAAACTAGGTCATTTGGTCTATTTATTTGTCTGTGTTGACAATCAAATTGCGTTATTTAAAATTAAAAATAAATAAATGAAAACAAATGAAAGAATATACTCATACGATTCTATGAGACAACTTCTGAAATTATTATTTTTATAACAGATATTTGATGGTATTATGTGGTAGTTTTTCATTGAAGAAAACTGGTTCAAGCAGCTGGTTAGGGTCACCACAACTTCACCTGTTTTACTAGAGTTCCATATATTTAAAGGTGATTGCTTAATATAACACCGATCATCTTCTTGTTTAGCCATTTATTTATTTATATCTGTGCAAAAAAAGGAAATCTTGAAACAAACCCTATATCAACCCGTCTGGCCAGGGTGGTATAGTAGGCCTAAACCTCCATTGTAAGGAGAGGCCTATGTCCAGCAGTGGACTGTTATGGGCTGTTGATGATGATGATGTATCTGTGGCATCATGGTTTATTTGTTAAATAAATTAATTATGATTTAGTTTTTTTTATTCGCATGGTGACTTCATCGGCAATAAAATTAAATTAAATTGTTTAACCATTTCAAAACCAAAGCCCTTACAGAGAAAATGTAAATAGTATCTTGACTGCACGGATGGCGTAGTGGTTTAAGTGGTCGCCGCTTCCATCGATTATTGTGGGTTCAAACCCCACATGGGACGACACTTTGTGTGATTCACAAATTATTGTCAGAACAATAATTTGTGAATTCGGGTAAAACGGACACAAAGCACACCCAGACTTCTGAGTCTGGGTGTGCTTTGTGTCCGTTTCAAGAAAAATATTCCTAATGCGGGAGTTGTCTTTAAAACAAAAAAAGTTTTATGGATAGATGTAATAGTACGGATAAAGACGTATATGTATTAAGCCGTCTCATTTCAACCTTTATAAAAATTAAAAAGATTTTATCTTAAAATATATGTGGCAAATTGTCTTGTTACAATGTCTAGCGTGTGAAATAAAATAAATTACATTGCAACGTAAGATATGTCTTATTATATTTTCAGCGTAATTTCGTCTTCGTCCTTAAAAAGTCTCCTCTCCTCCTCTCCTGTGGGTATTTAAATTATCGTAATGTTCTAAGAAAATTAAGGGTAAAATAAGACTTTGGAAAATTAGTTTCGTTTGTTTAATCACATATGTTTTTAAATAGATAACAGCCGTGTATTATAACATAAAACGTTACTTTATACAAGTTTCTATTAGAAGTATTGTTTAGAGATCAACTACCGTATGATTTAAAAACAAATAATTAATTAATTCCTAAGAAAGTAACGCAAATTTTTTATTGTTGATTTCAGACAGCTATAATTTCAAGTGTTACCAATGTTATTTCTTCAACCGCTATAACTTACAATAATCTATTTCTGAAGTGTCTTTCACAAAACGTCGTTTCAAATTTTAGTGCCTTGTAAACGTCTAAAACATTCACCATGATTTACGTTATAAGAATTAATTTCTAAATCACCAACACAACTTTTCAACCAATAAAATCTGGACGTCCAACTCGGGTGGTGATCGTAAAAATTATTAAAGTCCTTGTACATAAGACGATTCGTACCGGAATCGCAAGCCGATTCTCCCCGGACGTTTCTCCCATTTTTTCCCAAGTTTTCATTTTCAACAGTAAATTTCAACAGTAAATTATCCCCTCCGTAGCACTTTCAAATGGTATGCAGGAAAAAATCAAAATTTCCAAGAGCCATAAAAAAATATCCGCCACACTATTCAGTTTCCATAATCACTCGTATATTATAAAACTACAAACTTTATTTGTAATGAAAGTTATGCACAGCTATAATTAAAAATATTTAGAAGTTACAACCATATCATAACAAAGCAGAAAAAGTTTCTTAGAACTGAATTTTTAAATCATCATAGATTTTTTATACCGATCTTTGTTCAGGTTTCGAATTGAGTCAAAAACATTTAATGAACAGGAGTCTTAATATAAGCCATTCTGTTCTTGAAAGTTGTAAAACATGTTGGGAAGCAGACCACGTATTCAGGTCATATTTTATTATTGAGACGGGAATTTCGGTCAAGGTACTCTAGAGCAGGTTGAAATATTGGCATCATTGTAATGAAGGCCTTCGTCTTTTATTGTTGGACGTCCATAGAGACAAGAAAGATTGTTTGACAAGGACTTCCCTAGTTATAGTGATTTTGACCTGAATTTTGTTTAAGTTTCTTTTTTTATCTGACATGTTTATATCACTTTCGTTTGTTTACTTCTAAAAAGAGATAAATTGTTTAGCTAAATATAACTTAATAGAAATTGTGTAGTGATGATGGTAAAATATTTAGGTATTCATGTAGTTTTCAAGTATGTATTTTTTTTCGAATTCATTTAACGCGTAACACTTAATATTCTGTATGACACGTGAATTTAATTTATTTTGTATTATGATATCAACGTTCATATTTACATGTAAATAGCTCGCCCATTTCAGAAATCGGTCATGAAACTTTTACCAGTATCTTACTAGCAACAAAACCGTTCTAAAAATATTCTCCCACGTCAGTCACGGAAGTTTATTTTTAAAAATAATGTATAGTCTTTGAATTAATAAATTGCCAATAAAAAGGTTTCCTGTACTTGTTCTAAAGGAGCCTTGCTTATCGACAAAATTGCATGATTGGAAATGGGAATAATACCCTTATTGGACGACTGGATGGCGTAGTGGTTTGTGTAACGGACTGCTATTCCAAAGGTCGCGGGTTCGATTCCCGCTCAAGTCAAACATTTGTGTGCATGAACATTTGATGTTTGATTTGGTCTGGGTGTTTCTATGTATAATATGTATGTATTTACAAAAAAAAAGTATATATGTATTTATATCAGTTGTCTAGTACCCATAGTACAAGCTCTGCTTAGTTTGGGACTAGATGGCGTTGTGTGTATGTGGTAGAATATATTATTATTATTATTATTATATTATTATTTACTTTATACCTATTTTTTTATTTACCGGTGGCAATGTCGGACTAAAACCGACAAAAACCGCACGCCGTCTCAGATACCAGTAGTCGGGGAACCAGGTGTACCCTAGAAAGGAAATCCCTGGTGCCCCGACGTGGGAATAATACCCTAAAATTAAGCTGCATTTTTAAGTTCAGTATTTGTAAACTCGCTTTATCCTTTCTTAATCTACGTATTTAAACATGCTATGATGGTTTCTGAATAAATGGCAAATTAACTATGATTTGATTACAACTTAAACCACCAATACATACATCGTAAACCATCAGAACAAGAGTATCCATTATGAACTTTACGACCAACCTTAAGTCTCTGTAATAAAAAATGTTAGTACAACTACGCCTTCACTACTTTGATAATAATGCTCTCATAACAAAATGTGTGCTGATATATATGTTACCGAATATTCTGTATAGTCATATATTAGCTTAATAACTACACAAACACGTTTTTTTGACAATAATGACACAGAACAGTATTATAGAAGAATATTACGAATTAAATACTTATTTTTTTACGACTTGAAAGTAGAAGGTTCAAAATTCTTTGCCTTTTTTATGTATATTACCCAATTATTCCAAGTTTGCTCGCTTCATTTAATTTTATTTCTTTGAATTGGTATAGTTAGTCCTATTATCATCAGGCCAAGATCTAATTATGTGGTCCTAAAGAAATTTAAGAAACTATTCAAAATTATCCACACCTAGTTCTATTATATAAATTTGGGTAAATACCCCATTATTTTGTGAAGAAGAAGAAAGGAGGTTTTAGCCTACTAATGATGACTAGTAAGCTAAAACCTCCTTTCTGAGACCTATGCCCAGCAGTGATTTAAAAAAGGCTGATGATAATGATGGTGAACTAATGATGGAGACCTTTTCACTTGATTTATTTCCTCGGTTTTTATTGGTTAAAACACAATTTTTTTTCGCCATTTTAGATCTACTATAATATACATAATGATGAAAAAATATAAAAAAATGAACCAAATCACTGTTAATATTTTAAGTATCATTATGTTATATACTTGATATGTTATTATGTATGTATTACGTAATATTGATCACATTATACCTAGCTACACATTGAAAATTTATCTCAGAGAAGCTAAGTTCTAGCAATTCAACACTTATGGACTTCGAATTGCTAGTTGAGCAAATATTTGATCGCAAGTTGAGAATTAAAGCGCTCGTGAGGCTAAATTAGAAGACTAGCTAACCGCTCTTTATGAGGCAATCGGAGGCACATGTTAAGATCAAATTATCTCCAGTTTCGAAGACTATAAGGGATTACGTAAAATTTATTGGCAAATTTTGTAGGAAATATGTAAATACTGTGTAAGATCAGACTCCAATCTTAGAGTCCACAGTATCTTAGGATACGGGTAAGAATCACAGGATTATTTAACTACTACTACATCTACTACGGTCAGTTATTTACGATGAGTAGGAAAGCTGATGTTTCTAATGTGTGTCTGTGAGAGGCTTCAAAATGATTGTATTCTGTATTATAAATAACTTTAAGTTGCTAAAAACTGGTTCCTTATTGCGATAGCGATTTCATTCACAGTAACGTAGATTTCGTCAGTCAATTAAGATATCCCACAGGAATATTAGAAAATATCCTGTCGCAGGGGACTTTACAAACATACATAAAACGAACACAAAGAACACCCAGACTCAGAAGAACAATTTGTGGATCACACAAAGTGTAGTCCTATGTGGGGTTTGAACCCACAACACTCGGCGTAGTAGGAAGCGGCGTGGCAACCGTTTAAACCACTACGCCATCCGTGCAGTCATCTATCGTTCTCGTTTATAATTATGTCAATCATTATTGCATTATTGCACTTTTTAGAGGTTTTTAAATTTAATAGTGATCTTATTTGCCTCTAGCTGAGATAAATGCATATGGACATTTAAGCTGGTGCTTATTTAACTTTAACTTAAAAGTTTTAATTTCTTACCTCGGGAACTTGAACTGTCCATCCTCAGATCCTTCTTCACCGAACGATGAAAGAACTCTTCCGTTGACATCAAATACTTGTATCCTGTGATTGTTGGAGTCTGAGACTAAGACTCTGTTCGTGCTGGAGACGGCGATGTAATGAGGATGTTCAAGCTGACCAAGCTTGGACCCAAAGGAGCCAAATTTACCAACGAATGTGCCATCAGATTGGAATACCTGAACAAACACAATAAATAATCAATAACGTTTAGTATACTCAGAATTGGGATGTTAGGAATTAATAATCTGTCAGTAAATATAATCTTAGGGCTTTTCTACTACTGAAATATGGCTTCCGTGTCAAATCATGGTTCACCAAAAGCCTTCATTTGATAACAATATTCCATGATCAAATTAACAACAAAGATTTGTAAATTTTCACTATTTATTGAAATTGGCGGAGAAGTACGCCGCAATATGAAAACAATTACTATTTTGCGACAATAATTATATAGGCTGATATGTGCTTAGCGTAACAACAACTTTTGATACATCATAAAAGGGTAGAACTTCACACATGTTCTATTGAAACTAATAAAATCATTTTGTATACCAACACTATAATGGTTTTAATTTTTAAGCAGAGACACCGAGTATAATTTTTGGTGTTGCTTGTCGGTCAAGATTTTCATTTTACAGTGTGCAAACGGCTTTATGAGACTTTACATACCGAAAGGCGCTAGAAACAAAGTAGATAAAACTGTGCCATTATAACCTTCCTGCCCTAATCCTAATATTTTTTTTTTACGATCCTCAGGTTAAAGTGTTAGCGTGCATACCTGTACTCTGTGGTTTTCCTTGTCACAGACGTATATAAATCCGAGAGCGTCCGTTGTAATACCCCATGGGTAGTTGAACTTGCCGTCACCAGTACCTTGGCTACCGAAAGCCCTTAGGAACCGGCCTTGAGGGTCAAATACCTGGAGACAAAATTTTAAAAAATATATCGAGAACAATAAATGCCCTGAAAAAATAAAGTTTAAATAAAATTAAGTACAGGTTTTTCAAGTTTAGTTTTTAAAACTAAACTATAAATGAGTTATGTAAAAATCGTCCGTATGGTGACAGATTAAGTATACGGAGTGTCACCACCCCTATTCATACCGTGGGTGTCGTAAGAGCCGACTAAGGAAGAAAACTACGCAGACAACAGCACTGCAGAGAGAAGGAAAACTTGACACAAACACTATATCAACCCATCTGGCCATCGTGGCATAGTAAGCCAAAATCTCCTTTCTAACGAGAGGCTTATGTCCAGCAGTGGGTTATTAAAGGCTGTTGATGATGATGATAAATTAGTTATTAAGTCAATGAATTATTACGTAAACGTAAAAACTTTATGAGTTTTCACCGGCGGCTCTTACTTTCTCTATTGCTGGAATACTGTACTTTATATCTTAATAAAAGATATTTCATGCAATGATATACCTATCTATACTTCTAAGTATAAGCAAAATTAATGATAACCGTCAAATTATCTAAGTCAAAAATGTAATAAACTAACTTACGCAGGCCCGTCTCTGGCCTATTGGGTCTATAGAATAATGGGATCCTACGACCTTAACTGAGCGATCGATAATGAGTGTCTACAATACTTTCTTTGTCTAACTAACAAATATGGTTTTCAGTAGTAAATATCGATTATTGATTGCTGATCTGGAAGAAATAATCTAACATCGCATCTAACGATCGAGGGGTCCTGGGCACGTGCCAAGAGTGCCCAGTGGGAAAGAGGGGCCTAAACATACGAGCCTTACATTTAACAAAGACACTATCATATTAATGACATTAGGTAGAATTTTAACTAATTAAAAAATATGAGAATTATAAACAAACAAATCCAGCCTTTATATCTGATCACACAATTGAGTATGCATCTCTCATTTTGGGAAAAAATGTCGGTCTGCGAGCTGACTGGCACTAATAAATTACCGTCTGGACAAACAGGCAACTGAAATACAAATTCGTTTCTCCGGGGAAATATTCTGAGATGGATTACTACCTGAAATCAAACTTCCGACATCACTGTTGTGCTTTGGAAATATTTAGAAGTAAATTTATTGGATGATAGGATTCATCACTAGTTTTCTTTTCTAGTTTTAGAGTAAATATACACTTAATCCCTGCAAGAAAAACAAGACTGTTGTATACCTCATTGTATCTTTCCCTAATCATCTTTAAAGATACAATAATCATTATCAAAATGTTTTCACCTTGTGCAGAAAACTGAACTTTAAATGCTTATGTAGGAAGGCCATCCGATGTGGAAGTAAGCTTGCAAAATACAATTTCAGAGCTTAAAATCTGTTTCGGGTTCGAAACTATAGGGCAGAAAATGTACAGGAAATATTTTATAGCCGCTGTTCTAATGATTTATGAAATACAATATTTTTGTTTTAAATAGCTGGAATATTTAATTGAATATTGTTAATTATTATTGAGATTATGATATCAGTAGTAGTACCGATATTCATATCTAAGGAACGATTGATATTCATATCTAAGGAACGATTATGGATGGTTTTATTACCATTGGACAGAATGTCAAAGGAAGACTATCTCAAATTCAGCCTTCAACCTAATATTTTTACCAATTTACATAACTGGTTTCGTTTCCTTATTCCATTGTTTACCCAATCAAACTCGGGAACATTGCACCTCCTATGTGGGAACTAAAATTTCCTTTAACCTACCCAAATTGTTATGTAAGTTGGTATATTGAAAAACAAAAAATTCTAGTGCGTCCATTGTAAGTAGGTTAGTAAACTAATATCAGCTGACCTTCTTATTTTCGTATAATTTAATGTATTACGGATTGTTAAATATTTTGTCCAATTATTTCTTTTAATCTTTATCAGTAACAGTTTTATTTCGTTACGTTATTATGTGATTGGCTCTTACAATTACAATGAATTGAAAATGTGGAAAGTAAAATTGGGTGTTAAATTATTTTTAAAGTGTTTTATTAGTTATTAAACTTTTGTAGAATTAATAGCAGAATTATATATATGTTATCAGTTGTGTATAAATTGTATAATTCTTTAATAAAGGATGTATCAAATACTTGCTTAGTGAAATATAACACTATCAACTCTAAGATGTGAAACTATAAATGTTACTACTGCTTCTACAGCGAATTTCACAATATACGAGTACATTTGGCATGTAGTACCAAATTATATACAGACAAGATTCATTTGCAATAGATTTAAAACAAGCAACAATGTTAATATAAAATTTTCATCCTTCAGTTATAAGAACTTGCAAATGCTAAGGGATTGTTCATCTTTGCACTGAGAATTTATAATGAAGCCTTTTGAATTTTCGATTGTATTCAGATTCACGAAGATCTGTAAATTCTTCTTCATTCCCTTTTATTTCAAACTTACCTTTTGTTTTAATGTATACCTAGTTTGAAATGAGTTTAGAGCTAATTTAAATTTATGGCGTGAATAATTTCTGCCTTATTTTTAAGCCATTTTATTCCAACAGTTAATTTCTGTATTAAGGGCTAAAAATATTAAAGAGAATAAAGGGAAAATTGTAAATGCGGTTGCAGTTTGCAATTATTTAACAATATGACTACAAAGCAGAAAATTAAACCAAACAAAAAAATTAAGAAACATTGTAGTATTTTTCTTACTAGAAAATAAAATTACCTACCTGTATCACATTATATGAATGCAGAAATAACCATATATATTATTATTGACGTAAATAAAACCCGAGAAACTTGTGAAACAGTGTTATTCTGACAATTCGCTCAAAAGGCAATCTAACCCCTTATTGGGTTTTTAAGAGTTTGTCAAAACAAAACCTCAAAATTATAAAAATTACTTACTGGAATCATAGCAACCCCTTAAATGTGACACTTCGTAATGTTTTACTTACTTGTATACGATGATTGTATCTATCTGCTATGATGTATTGGCCAATGCGGTTGACAGCCACGCCAGCGAGGCAGTCAAATTCGCCCTCACCGCTACCGTACTGTCCAAATTCTTTCACGAATATACCATTGGAGTCGAACACCTGGAGTAAAATAAAAATTGTTGCAGAATATTAAACGAATTTTTCTTCACAAAATGAACTTCTCAAAGTAAAGTAAGCTAAAAAAATCGACTTAATATATGACTACTCCTATATGTACAAAATGGCGATCAATATTAAATTTTATTATGAACCCTTTTTCGACACAAAAGCGGTATAATACTTTTTAGTAACACACTGTAATGTAAGGTAGTGTATGTACTAGTTTATTTAGTTGGTACACTCCTAAAATAATTTAGCAATCATAAATTTAGAAGTTTATTTATTTTATAAATAGTTTATAAATACTGCAATACAATATTCTTTGTTTACCTAGTTTTCAATATTAATCCGAAATTTTATTATTAATGTAATTCGTTGGGTGGGGTGACCATTTTGATGAACTGGTTGCGAGAAGCCCAAAATTGATCGAAGTGGCGTGCAATGGGAGAGGCCTATGTCCAGCAGTGGACTGCGATAGGCTGATGATGATGTTGAGCGATCATGATTACTTTCAGTCAATGTCTCATCTTAACTATATCAAACATCTTTGTCTAATTTTTCCAAGTATTGTCGATGGAAGCTTGAAAACTATGTAACATTGTGCTATGATTAGAAGCGGAGAGGTGATCATAAATGCTGGTGAAATTGTCTTAAATTGGAATTTTATGTTATAATTTGAACATCATACTATCTGTCATATTACCTGCACTCTGTGGTTAGAAGAATCAGCCACGACCATTGTATTGTCAGGGCCCACAGCGATACCACGAGGCCATGTAAAGCATCCGGGTTCGCTCCCCCGACTCCCCACGCTGAATTGTAAACGGCGTTTCTGCATATACTGGCTCCTAGGGGAGGAACCGGCTGCTGCGAAACCTATCATCAAAAAAAAATTATTAACAAAGGAAAATAAAAGTTATCTTTAAATAATTTTCCAAACCTAAGCATAACACTATTTACACGCCACTCCTTATTCTAACCTGCTACCGCTGCTGTAGCCGCCGTAGGGGAGATGGGGGAGCCTGCCGCGTTTTTTGAATCGTCATCAGAACTGGCAAGCTCGTTTGCCGAACGTAAAGGTAGCCCGAGAGACAAGCGACGGGACGTGGTCGACGATGTACTACTAGGATCACGGTCCTTGCCCCGAGACCCATATTTATTTTTTAAGTATCTAGCCCAGGAACTGAGTGCTGCTCCGTCTTTTTCACCTGTAGAAGGTCGTTCAGGTGAGCTTTCTCTAGACTTTAGCGCATGCGAAGATCGGCTACGAGACAACTCCGAGCCACCAGTGCCGGAGCCGTATCGAGCCGCAAGATACGCGGTGGGAGATGCTGTCGTCGGTGATACCGCATCGTCCTGATCGTCGTCGTCTGCTACACCAAAGCCGGTGTGACTGCTCTTACTTCTAGCGAGACGGTTTCGACGCTCTTTCAGGGCGAGGTACCTCGATCTAGCTGTAGGATACTTAGATTCATCGTCTATAGAAGACTGTGTTTCTAGCTCTCGTTCAGGCTCTCTTGGCTTGCTTCCGTAACGGTTGCTGTACGAAGATCCACCAGAAGATGAACCATATCTAGGTGCAGGTTCTTCTTCAGTCTGAGATGCTTGTCTCGTGCGATAACGCGACTGCGTGGGTGTTTCTTTCGTTTTATTCTCAATAGCGTCATTACGTGCATTTGTACTACGCGCAAGAAGGGGACCAATGTCACTGCGAGCCATCGCCTGGCTCTCGGGCTTTCTTTGAGTTACAGGCTCCTCATCGCTCTCCTCTGACGAATCGGTTTCTTCTTCGGAACTTGTATCGGAGTCTTCGTGCGCCGGCTCGGCGGGTGCGGGCGCTGGCGTTGGTCGTTGAGAGCCAATAAAACGGCTCTGGACCCGTTGCGCTCCACCAGTTGTACCGTTCGTAGCCGCCGGCGTTGTTCTCTCGTTTCCTGTGGAATATAAACGATTCCCAGTTTTTGATGGTGGCGTACTATTGGCGTACTTTGCTTTTAATTCTGCGATGGAAAGAATGGCACCTGTGTGTTTTACCGCCGAGCCGGAACTTTCTGTTGATCCACTTGATTCCGTGCTAGGCGCACGAGCAGCAGCACGGTGTGCTGTTGGAACCTCAGAAGCAGAAGGTCTCCTAGGAGCCGCTGCTGGTTTTGGTACCACAGGAGCAGTTTTACGTTGGTTCCGCTGCAGAGACCCAACAGATTCATCGTCGGTATCGCCATCACTGGACGCCTGAGAAATTACACGTAAATCGGTATGGACACCATAACGGTAGGTAGGCTAAAGTTTTTGTTTCGTGTTTATGTGTGTATGAGTTAAACGTGGAGTGTATTTTATGGAATGCCGTTAGTTTTCTCGCGATTTATCTGGTTAGTATCGATGATGTTCCTACATTCTACGTTGGATTGCTTGCAATTCTTTCACTCTCTTTCTTCCTCCCAACTCACCTCCCGAGCCGGTGTAGGTGGTTTACGATTTACGGTTTCTTCGACGGGACGTGCTGGTGCACGTTCGGGTTCTTGGGATGAAGCTGCTCCTTTATTTTGTCTTTTCAGACGTGATATTTCATCCTCACTTTCTTGTCTTTGCGCAGGTGGAGGACGACGAGGCTGAGGCGTAGGCTGAACAGGTTTTGGGGGCGGAGGAGGTTCTTTCTTTTCTTTTTTCTTACCGCTGTCAACATCTAATATTCTCTGCATGACTCGGGGGCAGTCGCTTAGTCTGAATATTCCACTCAAAGGTCCTCGAGTAGCATCTTCAGTATCGGCCACTTTTTCCTTTTCTTTTTCTTTTTGTTCAGCTTTTACTGAACGACTAGTTTGTTCCGAGTCAGAATCATTATCTAAATGACTCTTAACAAATCGTGAACGGAACCTGGAACGTGCCGGTCTGTGTTCAGACTCATAACCGCTGTAGTCATCGGTGGTCCCATATGGATCCCTCGTATGCTTTTCCGGTGGTGGTGGTCGACGTTCACCAAATTTACGACCACCCAATATTGGCTCTTCGTTTTCCTGCCATCCTTTATTTTCTTCCTGTTGACGGAACTGTGTGGCTAACCGGTGGTCACTCTTAGATCTTGTTAAACCTTGATTCTGCTGCATTCCTCCAGAATATGCATTAGGTTGGGTGATATTCAATTCACCATAACTTGCCACATGCATTACTAGTTGATTAGGATCATGTGTCATTATAAACCGTATTCTACGATTATAGTCACCCGCTTCATAATCAAAGTTTCTTAGGAACTCAACCGTTTTAAGGAAAATTTCTTTGGTATCTACTAGCTCGGTATCGTCCCATTCTACATCGTCGTTCATGTACTTGTCGGCGAGATCACAGTTGCTTTGTATATTACCTAACTCTAACTCTAAATTATCTTTCAAGTTTGTAAGGTTTCTAAGCTCAGTAGCTAAATATCTGTCTACTTCATTTCTCAAGAAATCGGTTCTATCTTTAAGGGCTTTAGCTAATCTTTTATGTATTTCATCAACTTCTCCGGCAACTGCTCCGCAATTTGTCTGAAGATTTGAAGTATTTCGTTCTACTACTAATAGAATATCTTGAAGTCTATTGAGACCACGTCGTACTTGATTATTAATTCTTGAAATTTCTCTACGTAACACTTCCATATGTGCTGCTTTACAGTCTTCACATACTTTTTTGTCACAGTGGGCGCATAGGGCACAATATGCTTTTTCTGAACATACATTGCACCTTTCCATGACCTGCCCAGCCGTTGGGTCTGGAAGCTCTCCAGATATTTGAACGTGGAGCTCTAAGAAACGCTGAAGAGTTACATTCGTTGGAAAGCCCTGTACTCCCTGATATGGGATTCGATGTTCGGCGCGACATTCTGGACATTTGACCTGCAAAAAAATATTTTTGTAATAAGTCTAGTTCAAAACGTATTTTAATAATAGATAAGATTAAAACAGTTTATACCTGTCGCCTCACGTAATCGACCAGACCGTCCATACAAGGTTCCATACAGAAACTGTGCTGACATGGTAGCAGCTTTGGATTTCTATACCGGTCTAGACAGACACAGCACGTCAGCAACGATTCAAACTGCTCCATTTTTGCTTAGGTCTGTTTACGTACCTGTTGAAGAAAATTTACTAATGTAATGTTTAATTTAAAAAAAAAAGAAATTTAGAATACAAAAGTTTAATAAAAGATTTTGATAAAAATGCAATCAGTTTAATTTTTTTTTAAAATAATAAAAAACTGTACGTTAAAACGAGTTTATATTGACATGAAGGTTTATTTACTAAAATTCTAAAGTACTTTATAAATCTAGAGATAAAATTTAAAATCTCAAACAAAAAAAAATATCGATGCTATTTATATTAATATTCGTTTGACCTACAAACATAAAGATGCAATATTGATCGAATTCGTATTCTCTTAAAAGGGGCAATTTCCTTTAAAATTGTATGCAAAAGAGACTTTAATGTTGAGCTCTTAGAATCTTCAGACGTCATGCGGCAGATGAATCCATTAAAGAGGAACGTTGAAAATACTTGTTGAGATGCCAAAATATTGAATATGCAAATATTCCGTATTTTAGTATATAACATTTTCAAATTCAGTAAGTGACTTTTATTAAAATACAATTGAGTATTTCCAAAAAGCTCGTTTTAGCTGTGAATGATTCCGGCAAGTTTATTTTAGTATTCGCATCCTCAGAGAATCGGCTGAAATTATAAATAGACTCGTGGTATTTCACACACCTATTTGAGCGGACGCTCGGGCTTAGTTTCACGAAACGATCTCTAATATACTAAATATAATCCAGAGGAAATACAAAGGACTATAGTATATATTAATTGAACAAGACAACCTAAAGATTTAAAGTCGTGATTTGTTTGAACTTTGATTTCATGATTCTTATTGAGATGTAGTCAGATTAATACGTAGTTGTATTAATTCGCTATAACTGTTAGTTATGTTTGGAAAGTGACATATAATTTTAAACACTAAGTCTAATATAGTTGTTTTTTTTTTTCATTCCAATCTTGCTAATACCGATGATCTTAACGCGAACCTACAGCGACGACATAAAAAATAAGTTTATCCGTAAAATTGATAATAAAATTACAGTTAGCAGCAAAACTTTTGCACTTAAAGAATATAAAAACAGCACGGTATTGACGTCTTCGGAAACTGAACTATAAATTTAATATGCCGTAATTTTAAAGTCTGGAAATAACACACGTCTGGATAGTTTTAAAGCTTTTCCTATTAAGAAATCGTCACTAAAGTAAATTAATGAGCTGGCTTAATTCCTTTGGAGTTCATATAGTTACGTTCACGGGAATTAACGCCTGTACTCACAGGCTGACTGACTACAGGTAAATAGGCAGACAGCCTGTGACCACGGCTAGTGCAACCTGGTCAAAAGGTCAGCAATAGGTTATTGTGTACTTGATATTTATCGTCAGTGTGCTAATTCCCATAAACATCTAGGTATATCTAAAAAGATAAAATTGACAGGCTGATTCACTGACTGTTCGATTAACGCACAGCTAAAACCAACAGCAGTCCTAAATTTCATGCTTCTAGATGTGCATGTGTGAGCATGAAATTAAGTACGAATGTTCCTTAAGTCACTTAAGTAGGCATGCAAGAGTTCGAAATGGAGGTTGGATAATTATGAAATGCGATAGTTTAAATGTTAGTGTCGTGTTGTTTTGGTTTCCCATACAGCAACATTATATTTTATTTGCCTCCTTCTCCCCAAAATCACGTTTTATGGGAACTTTAAATAAGCACCACCTACACAAATTTGAACGCAGCTGATCGCAAACCCAAATTTTTAGCAACACGACAAATGAACATAGGGAAGTATTTAGAGGAACTTAGTCAATATTTTTTTTCTAGCGTTGGGTGATTAGATAATTAGTTGTGTGACGATAACATGTCGAGCTTGGCTTATGTTGTTTTGAGTCATTACAACTACATAGTGTAATGAATAGGTGACAAGGCTATTTGTGAATAAGTTACTTATTATACTTTTTATTTTGTTGTTTCTCTTTTCAAAACAAATGAATTTACTTTAAAAATTAATGAATCACACATGTGAACAACACACATCAAATATAAACATCAGGCTTAGAATCAACGAAATGTAACTAACCTTTTTTTGTGAGGGAAAAGAAAAGAAAAAAAGATGGTAGTCAGTTGTATTTAATAAGACAATTTAAGCTTTTAACTAATTGTATTGTATTATAAATACACAAAAACTATCTAGTTAGTGATTCCTTTTGAAATTACAGAATTAATTTAGATGTTTTTAATATTGCATGTGATTAATTTTTCTGTTTTTTTTTTTTATATGATTGATTAAATACTGCTAGGGGCTAGTGGCTAAGTGGTAATCGAGAAGGTTAACACATTGCAAAGTTAAGCGATCCTAGCTAGGCCAGTCTATGGATGGGTGACCATTGAGATCCCACCGTGTCTCGTCGAGCACATTAAACCGTCGGTCTTGGTTGCCACACAAACATCAGTGGCGATCGTTATGGGTAGCGAGAACCCCAAAAGTCCACACACAGTATTTCTAAAGAACTTCAAAATCGCCCAGTACTTGGGTTGTGGAGGTCTGACGGCAGTCGCCCTGTGTAAAAAATGAAGTTCAGCCTTATCGTAGTAGACTTGAAGCCAACGCCAACCTAGTTTATAAAAAAAAGACGTGTGGCACTCGGGGACTGCCGCGGTAAAGCTATTGCATAGCATTTTTTATCAAGTTATGCAATTATAATTATTTATTTATTTTATTTATGCAGTATATTTTTCCTTTGTTTTTTTTTTCTTTGATATTAATTAGATTGCGGGGTGAAGAGGGGGATTACGCATGCGCAGTAACGCCGATACAACCAATGCCACCTAGCGACGAGTTGCTGAACTAAAGAAACAAGCGTGATATTTCAAAAAAGTCATTAAAAGTTCTGCTATTCATCGATAATGGATAAACTAAAAAGTTTTACGTGGGGTGTGTTAGGTTATTTTCGTTACGGAATTTCTGGATTCGGGCTCCACGCCCAAAGCCCGCGATAGAAGCTATGCAATAGCTTAAAAGACTCGGAAGAACAAAGTACCGATAGAAGACTGGGACTGTAGTCAGGGAGGCAGCTGTTAAAAAAATACCCCATCAAATGCTGTTTGTTGTATAAATGTTTTACAGTTTTTAACGACAAAACTAGCCATCAATTCGTCTATCTAGTTGATCTAAAGGTTTTTAGGGATAAGGCCGCCATTTGTACATGCTTACAATAATTACGAAGATTGAAACTAATATTTACTCATTTCTCAAAATTAAACCTTATATACCTAGTGTTAGCAAGTCTTTTCCGGTGATGTTTTTAACCGAATCCTGTTTGCTTCTCTGACGGAGGAATTAAATATAGATTTGATTCGTTGGCTACGTCATAACATACGTCATCTAACTATAACTAAAGTGTTGACGTCTTCATTTTATTAGATCAGATCTTTTTTTATCAGTAGCTTAATTTAGCGTTTGCAATAATAATAACCAAAAGTAGCACCAACAGTTCTACGAACAGATGCAGTGATACCACGGCGTCAAAAAAAAAACAGTGACACTCTGGAAGTGCCGAGAGAAGTGAAAACTTATATATTATTTGACGACCGAATGGCGTAGTGGTTTGTGTGACGGACTGCTATTCCAAAGGTTGCTGGTTCGATTCCCGCTCAAGTCAAGCATTTGTGTGCATGAACATTTAATGTTTGATTTGGTCTGGGTGTTTCTATGTATAATATGTGTGTATTTACAAAAAAAAAGTATATATGTATTTATATCGGTTGTCTAGTACCCATAGTACAAGCTCTGCTTAGTTTGGGACTAGATGGCGTTGTGTGAATGTGGTAGAATATTATTATATTATATACAGAGGGGTAGGTATCGGTAACAGTGTCGCGAGTTCAATTGTTCTTTCCCATAAAATACATTCTTTTGTTTGTTGTTCAAAAATGCACAACGCGCCTACAGAAGTTTTCAAGAGCAATTCTTTCGTTACTTTTTACCGACTGAGGTTTTTATTTTATGATAGTGGGGGCAGACGAGCAGACGGGTCACCTGATGGAAAGTGACCATCCCTGCCCATGAACGTCTGCAACTCAGGAGCCACAAACGCGTTGCTGGAGACCATACCTCAATTCCTCTGATTTAGGGGAGGAGGTGGGAACTCAAAAGACGGCAACGCACTTGTCACTAGCAAGTGTCTATAGGTAGCGGTACTCACTTATCATCTGTGACCCATCTGCTCGTTTGCTCTATATGTAAACAAAAGATGTAATTTCTACACTGAATATAGTCTTATTAAGTTTCTTACGTTTTAATTCTTGATTTCTAATGCAGTATTTTTCTAATTGTTTTTTTTTTGGATTCATGCAGGATTGTCAACATCGTAGATTAAAACATATATTTACTAGACTTGCAACGAATATTCGGTTACTATTCGGTATTCGGCCTATTCGGCTGCTTTTATTATATTCGGCCGAATACCGAATACTTAAATAATGTATTTTGTCATTGAGAAATAATTGGTAAAATGAAAAATTAAAATCGATTGATTACGTATATATTCATATTTTCATTTCTGTTATAATCATTTAAGTAGTCATTGGTGCATAACACAGGTACATAATCATCTTCTGAATAGGAAAAATGGAGGATTCTATGTATTTGAATTATTGTGGTAATCAAAATTTAGAAGGGTAAGGTTCTCATTTCTTTTATAATCATTTATTAAGTAGTCATTGGTACATAAAACAGGTAAATAATTTAATTCACGTCTGTACAAATTTTTGGCGCTAAAATCCAGCCGAATACTTTTGCCTAATATTCGGCTATTCGGTCAGGGGCCTCGCCGAATATTCGGTATTCGGTATACTGCCGAATATACTATTCGTTGCAAGTCTAATATTTACCCATTTCTTAAAATTATTCTTATAACCTTAAACAC